GCCCTTCCTAGAGGCTTTGTCATCCTGTGGGGTGGCCACTACCCCCAGTGAAAGGGGTCTGAGGTGCCTGGAGAAGTGGGGATGGGGCCTGCCCCCTGCTGCCCTCAGGTCCTCAGAGGGAAGGGCACAGGGGGGCAAGGCTCCCCAGAGTCAGGGGAGGAAGGGAAGGGGAGAGGGTACAGGGCCCACCAGGAAGAGCAGGAGGCCACGTGGGCCTCCACCGAAGTTCTCTGCCCAAGACAGCAGGGTGAGGTTTGCCAACGCCAGGGTGGCAGGGCCACACTGCCTTGGAGGGGCTGGCCCACTGCACTGTGGCTTTTCCATAAGACACACTTGAGACCAAGGCACAGGGTAAGGCTGACTCCGGGAAATAAAGTTCATAATAGACTTTAGTATGATAATACAGTAAATTTAATAATAAAGTTCATAAAAGTGATGTATTTGCTGCACAAAATTTGAAAAAATAAAAGCAAACTAAAGAAAGAAAAGCGTAATTCCATCATCCACAGTTCACGTCATTAAGCAAATAGAAATATCCAGTGTTACCTCTACTCTTCCAGTAGGTTAATGACTTTTAACTTAATTGAGATTAAAATGTCTGCATGCTTGCCCTGGCCGGTGTGGCTCAGTCGTTAAAGCATCAGCCTGGGTATGGAAGGGCCAAGGTTCGATTCCCGGTCAGGGGCATGTACCTGGGTTGCAGGTTTGATCCCCAGCCCTGGTCTGGGTGCTCGCGGGAGGCAAGCGACCCATGTTCTTCTTCCCCTCTGTCCCTCCTTCCCCTCCCTCCCTCTCTTCCACTCTCTCTAAAAAGCAATGGAAAAAAATATCCTCGCATGAGGATTAATAACAACAAATGTATACATTCGCAATCTGTGTTTTTTCACTTAGTATAAATTGAGCACTGCCGATGGTCTCACACACCCTGTGAAAGCATCAGCCTGGGTATTAATCAGCACGAACAGGCCATGTTCGCAAGTCATTTGCCTAGTGTTGGTCGTCTAGATTCCAGGTGGCTCACAGTCTTTGCCTCGGAAGACATATTTGTACATACTTTCATTATTTTGGATTTTTTCCTTAGGGCAGTTTTAAAAAAAAGTTGTTCATGAGCCAAAGTTTAAGCAATTTTGAGACTTTTGATTCTTACAGCTGAGTTGCCTTCCCAAAGGCCTGGTCCCGTTTTCTCTCCAGATGGGCCAGGCTTGTGCCCTCCCCCCACCCATCCAGGCTGGAGAAGCTGCCTTTGCCCCAAGGGGCCACAGGTGCCCACTCTGGAGAAGAAAGGATCTGGATGTAATTTAGGTTCCCTCCCTCCCTCGGCAGGTGGGAATGAGAAGGAGCAGTGTTTGCGCAGCAGTGAAATTGGGAATGCTGCCCCGGCCAGTGTGGTTCAGTGCTCAAAGTGTTGGCCTGCGCACTGAAGGATCGCAGGTTTGATTCCTGGTCAAGGGCACACACCTGGGTTGCAGGTTCGATCCCCAGCCCCGGTCAGGGCATGTGCAGGAGGCAACCAGTTGATGTGTGTGTGTGTCTCTCTCCTCTCTCTCTCTCTCTCCCACACCCCACCCCTTCCACTCTTTAAAAAAAAAAAAAACACAAAAAAATCAATGGAAAACATATCCTCCAGTGAGGATTTTAAAAATAATAATAATAATGATTCCTGGCCCGGCCAGTGTGGCTCAGTGGGTTGGTGTCATCCTGTGCACCAGGAGGTCACTGGTTCAATTCTGGGTCAGGGCACATGCCCGGGTTGCGGTCTCAATCCCCTGTGGGGTGCATGCGGGAGGCAACAGATCGATGTTTCTCTCTCATCAATGTTTCTCTCTCCCCCCTCTCTTCCTCTCTCTCTAAAATCAATAAAAACATATATAAAATATATATATATGTTATTTTTATTGGTCTGGCCACCTGCAGACACTTCTCTCCGACACTACGTGGAGTTTCCATGGCATGAATCACAGTGCATGGTGGGTGTGCTGTCGGAGTGGCACAGCTCTCTGCTGCCCCAGCCCCCCTTGTCTTTGCCACCTCACGTAGTTCAGCCCTGGCCCCGGCTGCTGTTGCAGCCTGACATGGGTCCCCCAAGCAGAAATGTGGGTGGGGCTGTGTCATCCCTGGGGCAACCCAGAGCAAACATGTTAACCCTGGGTCTGAACCACAGGGGTGCAGAGGCTGCTCGAGGCTGTATCCCAACACCACAGGTGCTCCCTGCCCCCACGACATCATGGGTGCCCCTGTGACACTTTGGGTGCTCCCTGCTCCCTCCAGCTGCCCCCATGTGGTTCAGGGTCTCCAGGTGTCTTGCTCTGCTGAGCTCCTGCTCTGTGTCCTCAGCTTTGGAGCAGGTTTCAGAGCCTGGGTACCCCACCTTCTTGTTGGGGGCAGCACTCTGGGGTGGTCCAGAGCTTTCCCCAGTTGCTACCTAGGGCCCACAAGACTTGGTGGGGCCGTCCCCTCAGAGGTCCATGCAGCCTGGGGGCCAGCCACACATCCTCAGGACGCCAAGGGCTCCTCCTGCCCCAGCTGGCGTCCGCAAGGCAGGGGATCAGGGTAGAAGAGACAGTTTCTTTTGGGGATCTGCCTCTTCCTCCATCTTCATGCCCCAGCTTCTCTTCTAAGGGAATCAGCCCTGGACTTGGGAGATCAAGGGTTGGATGCTGGAGAGGCCCTGGGAAAGGTGAGTCTTGGGGTCAGGAAGAGTGAAGGGGAGAGGGAAGCTAGGGCATTGGGGAGCGCTCATGTGCCCCCTTGCTTCCCAGAAGAGAGGGTGTCAATGTAACCCCGACTTATAAGGGAAAGCCTCCCCTGCAGGTGAGGGTGAAGGGACTTCGGTAGGGGTGTGCCCTCACAGCCTGGCTCCCGGGCTCCTCCCCACGCCGGCTGGCAGGAGGGCGGGGAGGGAGGAGGAAGGTGAGTCCCACGCGGAAGTCAGGTATGACTCGCCTGGCCACACTGCTGCTACTGCGGTGCTGAGCCGCCTCCCTCGGCTGGATCTGGGACAGCGAGGGGCTGCCAACATGCAGGTGAGTCGGTGCTGCACGGGGTCCACACCTGTGGCCCCTCCAGCCAGCCCGCCAGCCTCCCCTGGAGAGTGCCCATGGGGTTCCTGAAGCCCGGGCTGAGGTGCCAGTGGCAGAGCAGACAGAGCCCTGAGCAGGGGCTTCGCTTTCCATCCTTAGGGTGGGGCCGAGGAAGAGACCATTTCTCCTTGGAAGGGAGCAGCCAGGGATCTTGGTGACCCCAGGGTGGGGGTCTTAGTTAGTGAGTGGGGCCTAGATGGGCAGGGCATGCCCACCGCCAGTCCCTGAGTCAGGGTGAGGACCCCAAGACTGAGCAGCTTTGCCCTGTAGCTGGCACTGGAGGGGAGGGCGCTGTGGCCTCCAGGATGGGCTGACCTTGGGCTGGAGAGGCCCAGGGTAGCCAGCTGGGCCCTCTTTCCCTGGAGTCCTGCCCCAGGCAGAGGTGGGGTGGCTGAGGGTTACTGGTTTCTGATTCAGGGGAGCAGAGCAGGAGGCTGTGAGGGGCCAGGGAAGGTGGGCAGGAGAACATCTGAGAAGACATCCTTTCTCCCCTCTGCCCAGGAAAAGCTTGCAGGGCAGGGCCAGCACCTGGGTGGCAGGAAGAGATCCATGCAAGGTGGAGAGTGAAACCAGCCTCCCACGGGGCCACCCAGGGCCCTCCCAGGTGTGAGCCAAGGGGTGACCTCCAACTCCACCTCTGCCTGAGGGCCTCCTCGGCCCTTCCTTAGCCGGCTCTGGTGTCCTGAGATTCCTCAGCCCAACACCCAGGCTTCCCTGCTGGCCCCTTCCTGTCAGGTCAGTCAGGCCCATGCTGGGGTAGAGGAGAGGCTTGGGGCTGGCTCAGGGTGGGTGAGGAGGCAGCGCCTGGCTTGGCTGAGGTGAGAGAATTAACCCTTTGAAGGATAGGTGCAGATGCAGTCAGCTGGACTCAGTGGCCCATGCTCTTCCTCTGCTCAGATCCCTCCCAGGGCTCCCTGTTGCCCCAGCTGAAGTCCAAGCTCCCCAGACATCTGAGCAGTCCTTGTGGTCTGGCTTCTGCCAGCTCCCCAGCCTCACCTCCAAGCAGTTCCCTTCTTGCTCTTTATGCTTCTGCAAAGCTGAGATGCTGAAGTTGGTGTCCCTGGGAAGAGTGACTACGAAGTCCCATAGGTGCCAAGTGCCAGAGCACTAAGAGTAGTAACTTCCATGTCCTTGGAGGTGCTGAGTGCCGAGTCCCTGGGAGTACTGAGTACCAAGTACTTGGAGGTGCTAGGTACTGTGTCTCTGGACACCAATTGCATGCTGCTCCTCAGGGCTTGTTTTCCTCTCCCGGGAGCTGCTCTCGCTTTTTTGCCTCCTGCAAACCATTTTTTTAAAAAATTTTTTAAAAGGAATTTTTTAAAATTGATTTCAGAGAGAGGAAGGGAGAGGGAGAGAGAGATAAAAACATCAATGAGAGAGAGTCATTGGTTGGCTGCCCCCTGCATGCCTCCCACTGGGGATTGAGCCTGAAACCCGGGCATGTGCCCTGACCGGTAATCAAACCATAATCTTCTGGATCATACATTGATGCTCAACCAGCGAGCCATGCTGGCCCAGCTCCTGCCAACCTCTTGCCCCACAAGGCCAAGCTCCACACTACCCACCCTGCCCAGTAGGTGCCTGCCCCTCCAGACCCCTGTGTCCACTTACACCACACTTACACCACACACTGCCCATGGGGGCTGCACACAGGGCACACCATTTCATCAGTGAGTACCTGGGGATGGATGATGGACAGCACACAAAAGAATGAATTGACAGATGACATACAGATGGATAGCTGGAGGGATGGTGGGAGGGAGGGGCAGGCAGAGCCAGGTGGGGTGCTTGGTCAGGGAGGTGGTCTGGGGCACCTGGCTGGGCCAGCCAGGGGGGTGTCCACTTTGGTGGGGACAGGAATGTTCCCTTGCTGGACGATAACTGCACCGTGCTTTTGGGGCTGAGTCAGGAGGGCCTGGAGGGGGGACGTGACCCTCAGGAATAGTGACAGAGGCCCATATGTATCCATGTGCAGCTGAAGTGGCATCACATGTGTGTGTTCCATGTAGCCCGCCCAGACAGGCTGGGTGGTGGTCACTTCTGCACCCCTGAAGGGATGGACAGAGGGGCCTTCCGCAGCTCTGACTCTTGGTGTCCCTGGCTGTGAGTAGGGAGTATTCCCCAGGGCTGCCTTTTTATTTTATGTTTTTAGTATAAGTATATCCCATGATCACAATAATTGGGACATACTTATACCAAAAGGGATCTTGTTTATGTGAAACTCAAATGCAACTGGGTGGCCTGTACTTTACCTGGCAGTCCTGGAGGGCAGACTGGCTGGAGCAGTCCAGGCAGGCTTTCTGGAAGAGGCGTGCTTGAGCTTGGCAGGAATGTGGTTGGAGAAGGGAAAGGCTAGCAGGTGGAGCACCAGCAGGACCAAAGTCTTGGCTGTGGGTGACTGGAGCAGGGTTGAGGGCTGTGAGCTGGGGGCTCCTGGGGCAGGAAGCCCTGGCAGAAGTCCAGGGCCAGTGGGGGCTGTGGTGGGGTAGGGAGTGCCCAGATTTGCCAGCAGTTCACGTGAGGCCGGTTTTCTGATGGACACAACCCCTAGATTGCCCCAGAACCTTTATGCCCGGGATGCAGCAGGTCCCTGTCCCTCTGGGGTCCTTTGCCTCCCTGGGGAGCTGCCAACAGGGACTGGGGCTGGAGTCCTTGCCAGCCATGCAAACACAGCGTGCTCAGTGCCACGTTGGGGTGACAGGATGCTTGGTGTGTGGCCTAAAGCCCCGTAGGGCTGACACTGTCATGGCCAAGGTTGGAGGAGGTGGGTGATCTTGCCTGAGAGAGTGTGGTGTTGGTGTCCCCTGGGCTCTTGGCTCCAAAGCCAGGGTCTTCTCCTTGCACCTCTGCCCCTGGCTCCCCCCCCCAGTGACCCTCCCTGACTGTGTGCCTTGTCCCCCCACCCCTCAGCCGCCAGGTTCCCCCAGTGGAGGGGCCCTGGGTCACTTTGCCTCAGTCCTCAGCCTACTCACTGAGCCTAATGAGGGCCCTGGGTCCCCCACCCCAACTCTCGTTCCTCCAGCTCAGGTAGGTTTAGTACATTGTCAATGTTATAAAGAGTTATAAATACAGAGGAGGTGCCCATGCCCTTTGCTCCGCCTCCCCTGAAGTCAGCGCCCATCGCTTGGGGTACTGGTCGAAATGAGGAGCCCACCACAGCTTCCTCGACTCCAACATTACTTGCTTTCCCACTGGGTCCTTTCCTGTCCTGGTCAGTGCAGGATCCCTGGTGGCAATCGGCCTCCTCCCGTCTGGAACGATCCCTCTGTCCCTCCTTGTCCTTGGGCATCTGCCTGTTCGGTCAGCCCAGGTCTGGTGAATGTCCCTGTGATGTTCTCGTGATGAGTCAGGACTGTAGACTTTAGGGAGGGGACCACACACCATCACATCACCTCCTCTCAGGGTCCCTGACATCTAAGTGATGTCACATGACCTCGACCCCCACTGTCTGGGGTGGGTGTCTGCTGGGCTCTCCTCTGTGAGGTGACTGTTTTCCTCCCACACTTTCCTCCTTGGTCGTGAAGTGCAGCCCACACGCAGCAGGGGAGGGCTAAGCTGCACCTCCCGGGCCTGCTGCCACGGTAACTAAGGACAACTTGGGGAGGGTCGAGAGGCTGAGCACATGTCCACTTCAGTGAGGTTCCGCCCACTGATGCAGCGTCTGTGTGTCTGTCCTGGAAGTAGTTTTACTGAACTTGGTACCACGTCACGTTTGCCCCCGATGCCCCGTGGGAGGCGGCGGCCCATTTGTGCTCCGGCTGCATCGCCTGCAGCCATGTGGGGACTGCACAGTGTCTTCATCCATCCATGCAGTGGGGATGTGTGTTATTCCCACCATTTCGATGTGACATTTGCTATTGTGAGCACCTTGTCCATCTGTCTGTGTCTCCAGGTGTGGCCGGGCCGGACTGTGGATGTTCACTTTTGTTTTCCAAATTCACGTACCAGTGCGTGCAACAGAGCAACCCAGGGGTTCTGCCAACTTTGGCACTTAAAATGTCCATGACCGAAGGGTAGAAGGTGGTGCCTCCCTGTCACGTGACCAGCGTTTCCTGGTCTCCCAGAGTTCCTGCATCTTCCCCTGTGCCTGCTGCTTGTCTGCGAAATCCTTTTGCATCTTGGCCTGTTTTAGATTGGGCTGTCTGTCTTCTCTTAGGGTTTCAGGAGCTCTTTGCCTATATTTCCAAACACACCTCTGCTGGTTGGTTCCTTGCCCTGCAGCCCCTGTGCCTGGCCCTTCCCTGACACTTACACCCCCCAGGACCTACTTGTATACATGTTTTCCTCACCTCCCCCCACCCCCAGCTTTGTGTTTTAAGCCCCTTGGTGCCCAGGAGACACTCTACTATGGGAATAATCTCAATCCTTCTGTCCCCACCCCCTGCCCCAGGGTGAAGAGAGACTCCAGATCCTGGTGGGGATGGAAGGTGACAGCTTCCCGCTGATGGAGATGGGTGCTTCTGAGGTGAGTCTCTGCTCAGACCCTCTGGGCTTGGCCCCTCCCACTCTCCCATGCCCAGCCCGTGTCTCCCTCCTACAGCCTGATCCTCCTGACCAGTGGGACTACGTCCTTGTGGCCGATCATCGCACCCAGACAAACCCCAGGCAGGTCTACCAGCAGCAGCAATTCCTGAAGGACCTCAAAGGAAAGGGCTTCCAATACAAGGTGGGCTGGCACTGAGGGGCAGGGGTCATGGGTGCCTGAGGGGTCTGGGGAGGGGTCTGGAGAGGTGGCCCGTGGTCTTGTGCTTGAGGTGAAGGGGCTGAACAGTGGCCATGGACGGAGCGGGGAGGGTTCCAAGGTAGAAGAGAGTCACTCCCCCACCCCCAGGTGAGGAAGGACCAGGAGAAGGTGTTCTTTGGAATCAGAGCCGACAATAGGATCTTCAGCCTGTACCAGATGCTCCTCATGGAGCCCAAGGGTCCAGCCCCCAGAGTGGAGACAACCAGGTCGATCCCCATCCCAGACACCACCAGGTGAGAGGCTGGCCTGGAGTCTGGCCAGGAGGACCCCTACCTACCATGCACATGCCAGGTCCAGGGAGAGCCCCAGGTGTGTCCTCAGGGCTCTGTGCCAGCTTCCACATCTGTGAAAAGGGATTATGACAGTTCTCACCTCTTGGAGTGTTTTCTGAAAGCTACATGGGACTTAATGGGTGGGCAGATTCAGAGAGGCTGAGAGGACCCTCCCAGCCATCCCTCCTGGCTCTGAACCCAGATGCAGACCCAACGCCCTTTCCCGGCCATCTATCCCCTGCCTCTTGGGAACCCAACACCTCCTTTCTCTCTCTGAGCACCTGCTCCTCCCTGCTGACCCTCCAGCTCTAAAAGCTGATCCACCTGCCCTCCCCATATCCCTCCTCCATCACCTGCCTGTCTCATCCCAAGTCCCTCCAAGCTCAGCTGGGGCCATGTCAGTGGAGACTGGCAAAGGACACTCCCAGCATGTGGATACGAGGCAACGGAGGGGGCTCCTGGGGATAGGACAACTGGGGGGCCCCCGGGAGGAGGAAGGGGGAGAAGATGAGTTGAGGCACCTTGATGGGGTATTGGAGAGCCGGGCAGGGTGAGTACCCTGGGGCGTCCAGGGGACCATGTCACATCGGAGGGTGCTCAGGAGTGTGGCTCTTCGGTCAGATGCCACTTCCTGGCTGTGTGGCCTTGGCCAAGTTACTCAACCTCTCTAAGCCTCAGGCTCCACATAGGCAAAACTGCTCCCAGGGATGTAAAGAGGATTCACATACATAAGGCCATAGGGTGTGCTCTGGCTGTGTGGGGGCTCCAGGGAGGAAGTGCGATTGGAGGTAGGGGGTCAGGCCAAGTTTCTGGGGTTCCGGGAGGAGAAGGACCATTCCTGAGAGAGCCCCGTCCTAGAGCCATGGGTGTGGGGGGAGTGTAGCTGCATCCTGGGAGGATTTAAGGAGGCCAAGGGTGGGCTCCTAGATGAGTCCTGGGTCTGGGCTCTGGTCAGGCGGTGAGGCAGGTAGGCTGGGGGCTCCACCAGGATGGTATGGGGCTTGGGACCCGGCCAGACAGGGGTCGGTCTGCTGAGGTTACATGGTGCCACTCTGAACCAGCTCTTGTGTTCCAGAATCCGAATCGTCGACTTCATCCTGAACAGCAAGACGAAAGCCGGTGGTGAGGATGGGCTGGGCAGATGGCTGGTGCAGTGGCCCACCAGGAGGGCGCTGAGGTGGGGGGATGTGGCAGGGCCCTCCCTCCCCTCCCTCCGCTCCCTCCTCTCTGACCGGAGACTCCCCGTCACCCTTAGACACATTCCAGGACTTGGTGAAGGATGGGGTCTTTGAGACCAGGTTTCCCGTGCACAAGGTGAGGGGTAGGCTGGCTGGGAGAGGGCCTGACCTGAGGGTGGGGCCGGAGGCAGAAAGCTCTCACTGTCGGTCACCTGTGCCCAGGGGGAGGAAAACCTGAAGAAGAAATGGGCCCGGTGGAGAAACATGGTCCATGAGCAGCCCATTGATGATATCAGGTAATACGGCCCCAAGCAAGCCACCTGTGTCCCCTTCACAGACATACCTGTGCGCCGCAGAGACCCACCTGTGCTATCCACAGATGCATCTGTGCCCCCGCAGACACACCTGCACCCCTCACAGACGCACCTGTGCCCCCGCAGACACACCTGCACCCCTCACAGACGCACCTGTGCCCCCGCAGACACACCTGCACCCCTCACAGACCCACCTGTGCCCCCGCAGACACACCTGCACCCCTCACAGACGCACCTGTGCCCCCGCAGACACACCTGCACCCCTCACAGACGCACCTGTGCCCCCGCAGACACACCTGCACCCCTCACAGACGCACCTGTGCCCCCGCAGACACACCTGCACCCCTCACAGACGCACCTGTGCCCCCGCAGACACACCTGCACCCCTCACAGACGCACCTGTGCCCCCGCAGACACACCTGCACCCCTCACAGACGCACCTGTGCCCCCGCAGACACACCTGCACCCCTCACAGACGCACCTGTGCCCCCGCAGACACACCTGCACCCCTCACAGACGCACCTGTGCCCCCGCAGACACACCTGCACCCCTCACAGACGCACCTGTGCCCCCGCAGACACACCTGCACCCCTCACAGACGCACCTGTGCCCCCGCAGACACACCTGCACCCCTCACAGACGCACCTGTGCCCCCGCAGACACACCTGCACCCCTCACAGACGCACCTGTGCCCCCGCAGACACACCTGCACCCCTCACAGACGCACCTGTGCCCCCGCAGACACACCTGCACCCCTCACAGACCCACCTGTGCCCCCGCAGACACACCTGCACCTCTAGCAAACACGTCTGTGCGTCCCATGCCCCCATGCCCCCTGCCCGCCCAGCACGGGCCTGGGACGTCGCCCTGGCGGTGGCTCTGACCGCGCCGCTGTCCCGCAGGAACTACTTCGGCGAGAAGGTGGCCCTGTACTTCGCCTGGCTCGGCTGGTACACCTACATGCTGGTCCCCGCCGCGGTGGTGGGCCTCACGGTCTTCCTGAGCGGCCTCTCGCTGTTCAACGCCAGCCAGATCAGGTGGGGGCGTGTCACGGGGCGTGGTCAGGGC